CCGCGAGGCCCGGCCCGTTAGGCCCACTAAGGCCCGGGCCCGGGACAAAATACAGCCCTAGTACACCCTGTGTTAATCAATCTTATGTGTGTTCATATAGCGGAGAAAGTGAAAATCAAGGGGCAAGGGAAGAAATGAATTATGTTAACAACTTTTGGGGTTAGAGACAAGGAGGGCAGCAGTGGAGACCGGCACCAAATCAGCAATACAGACCTAACATGCCTCAGCCTGGGAGCATGCAAGTTCAAGGCCAAATGGTGCCATACCATCAGAGACAATAGGGCTACCCACAGCAGAACCAACAACAGTTGACATATCAGCCACCTCCTCAGCATCAAGATAACAATATGGTAGAGATCAGGGGGATTCTCTAGCAACTCATTGGGACAAATGGTAAGATGCAAAAAAAGTTGGCAGTACATGATTCAGCTATAAAGAACATTGAAACTCAGTTGGGGCAGTTGTCTATGGCTTTAAACAACCGCCCCCAGGGAATATTGCCAGCGAACACAAATATTAACCCCAAGGAGCAAAACCCAAATCAGCTGATGGCAGTAAGTTTCTGGAATGGGAGAGATTTAGACAAAGAGCAGGAGGTTGCACAAGCCAGCAAAGAGACTACGCCAGCCACTCCAATTCCACTAGAGGTAGATGAACAATCAAATCTGACTGAAGTGGTGGTTGAACAGGGTCAAGATGAAAAGGGTAAGGCTAAGGTAAATGAACAAGTTGCAGAACAGGTGGTGCCTCTTGTGCCACAGAACCCCAATAGAGAGAAGCCAGCAAACAGTGCACAAAGGGTGATACCTACACCATTCCCTCAGAGACTAGTAAAATAAAAGAAGGAAGATCAATACAAGAAATTCATGGAGATGCTGCGTCAAATTCAGTTGAATATTCCTTTGATTGATACCTTGAGGGAGATGCCAGGTTATGCGAAGATGATGAAAGACCTAATGTCACGGAAGTTTGATTTTCAGGACCTATCCACAATGACTCTAACGCAGACCTGCAGCGCAGTAGTGACCAAATTGATAGCTCAAAAGATGTCAAACCTAGGTAGCTTCACTATTCCATGCACGATTGGGAGTTATGCCTTTGCAAAGGCATTATGTGATTTAGGAGCCAACATAAATTTGATGCCTTTGACTGTATACACCAAACTGGGCATTGGCAGAGCTAGACTGACTTCGATGCTGCTGCAGCTAGCTGACCACACGGTAAAAAGGTCTACTGGGATTCTTGATGATGTGTTGGTGCAAGTGGAGAAGTTTATGTTCCCTGCAGACTTTGTTATTCTGGACTGTCAGATAGATGAGGAGATGCCTATCATTTTAGGTAGGCCATTTTTTGCCACTGGGAGAGCACTGATCAATTGTGAGACTGGGAATTAAAAATGAGACTGAACGATGAAGAAGTCATATTCAATGTTCAGCAATCTATGAGGAGACCCAGTGAATATGCTAATTGCTCTCTAGTGGAGGCAGTGGATGTGATCATGTAAGAAGATGATGTGACCCTGACTACTAAAGATCCATTGGAGGCATGTCTGACAAATTTAGAAGAGATGGATGGTAAAGGGTTAGCTGAGTGGGTCATGGCACTTGAAGGCTAAGGATTTTGGAAAAGGGAACCTCAGTTCGAGTCCTTTGAGTTATAAAAAAGGGTACACCTCCAGCAAAGCCATCAGTAGAGGAACCACCCAAGCTGGAGCTGAAGCCGCTTCCAGCTCACCTCAGGTACATTTTCTTAGGCCCTGATTCTACTTTGCATGTTATTATATCATCCGGTCTGCTAGATGTGCAGGTAGAACAGCTCTTACAAGTACTGCAGGAAAGTAAGACTGCCATTGGCTGGACCATGGCAGACATAAAGGGTATCAGCCTAGCCTTCTGTATGCATAAGATTCTCTTTGAAGAAGGGCACAAACCTTCCAGAAAACATCAACGAAGGCTGAACCCGAACATGAAAGAGGTAGTAAAGAAGGAAGTGATCAAATGGTTAGATGCGGGAATCATCTTCCCCATCTCTAATAGTAGTTGGGTCAGCCCTGTCCAATGTGTGCCGAAAAAGGGGGGAATGACTGTTGTGTAAAATGAGAACAATAAGTTGATCTCAACTCGTACAGTCACGGGATGGTGGATTTGCATGGATTACCGAAAATTGAACACAGCCACCCGGAAGGATCACTTCCCCTTGCCTTTCATTGACCAAATGTTGGACAAGCTTGCCGGGCGATCGCACTTCTATTTCTTGGATGGATATTCGGGGTACAATCTGATATCAATAGCCCAGGAAGATAGAGAGAAAACATAATTCACTTGTCCTTATGGCATCTTCGCCTTTCAGAGAATGCCTTTTGGGCTTTGCAATGCATCGGTGACATTTCAACGGTGCATGTTAGCCATTTTCACATACATGGTGGAGGATATTATGGAGGTCTTTATGGATGATTTCTCCGTGGTGGGAGATTCATTCGAGGACTGTCTTCACAACTTAAGAAGAGTGCTCAAAAGATGTGTGGAGACAAAATTAGTGTTGAACTGGGAGAAGTGCCATTTTATGGTACAGGAAGGAATAGTCCTGGGGCATCGAGTGTCCAGTAAAGGAATTGAGGTCGACCATGCTAAGGTTGACGTGATTGAAAAACTACCACCGCCCACTTCAGTCAAGGCAGTGAGAAGTTTCCTTGGGCACACCGGGTTCTACAGGCGATTCATAAAAGATTTCTCCAAAATTGCTAACCCATTATGCAAACTCCTTGAAAAGGATCACCCCTTTGTGTTTTCTAATGAATGCAGGTTGGCATTTAAGGAGCTGAAGAAGCGATTGGTGACTGCACCCATCATTGTTGCACCCAACTGGGAGTAGCCATTTAAGCTCATGTGCGACGTAAGTGACTATGCCAAAGGAGCAGTCTTGGGGAAGCAAAAGGATAAACTGATGCACCCGATTTACTATGCAAGCAGAATGCTAAGCAGTGCACAACTCAATTACACCGTGACGGAAAAGGAAATGTTGGTCGTTGTTTTTGCATTCGACAAATTCAGGTCATACTTGATTGGCTCGAAAGTTATTGTTTACACTGACCATGCAGCAATTAGGTACCTGATAGAAAAGAAGGATTCAAAGCCACACTTGATTCGCTGGGTTCTTCTGTTACAAGAATTCGATCTGGAAATACGTGACCGAAAAGTGACAGAAAACCAAGTAGTTAACCACCTCTCAAGGTTGGAAGGAGCTGAAAGGAAGGTAGAGGTTGAGGATATAATAGATACATTCCCGGATGAACAATTACTGGCAATGACAATGGAGGAGGCACCATGGTATGCTGATATTGCTAATTATTTAGCAAGTGGTATTGTACCTTATGAACTCTCCTCAATACAAAAGAAAAAGTTCTTTCGTGATTGTCGGTATTATTACTGGCATGAACCTCTATTGTTTAAAATATGTGTAGATAACATGATCCAGCGGTGTATCCCCGAGAAAGATCAACATTTTGTTTTGCAGGCTTGCCATGCTTCACCATATGGTGGACACTTTGGAGGAATTCGGACAACAGCTAAGGTGTTGGAGTCAGGATTGTACTGGCCTACTCTGTTCAAGGATGCCCATGCTTGGGTTAAAAGCTGTGATGAATGCCAAAGAACTGGCAACATATCTCATAGACATGAGATGCCAATGACCACAATTCAAAAGGTGGAGATTTTTGACATGTGGGGGATTGACTTCATGGGGCCATTCGTAAGCTCATATGGTAACAAGTACATATTGGTAGCAGTTGACTATGTCTCCAAGTGGGTTGAAGTAGTGGATCTTCCGACCAATGATGCTAAAGGGGTACTAGGCTTTCTAAAGAATAACATTTTCCCACGTTTTGGTACCCCAAGAGCTATACTCAGTGATAGCGGAACTCATTTCTACAATAGAGCATTCGCACGGCTGTTGGAAAAATATGGAGTTCGTCATAAAGTGACCACCCCGTACCACCCACAATCGAGTGGGCAAGTTGAAGTGTCCAACAGGGAGATTAAAAATGTCCTCACAAAAACAGTGAATGCAACAAGGACTGAATGGGCAAAGAAATTGGATGATGCATTGTGGGCGTACCGCACAACCTTCAAAACCCCAATTGGTATGTCACCGTACAAGTTGGTGTTTGGCAAGGCATGCCACCTCCCAGTTGAGCTAGAGCATAAAGCACTTTGGGCATTGCGGCAGTTAAACTTAGACATGGAGACAGCAGGTACTAACAGAATCACTGGATTACATGAGCTCGAGGAATTCAAGTTCNCAACCTTCAAAACCCCAATTGGTATGTCACCGTACAAGTTGGTGTTTGGCAAGGCATGCCACCTCCCAGTTGAGCTAGAGCATAAAGCACTTTGGGCATTGTGGCAGTTAAACTTAGACATGGAGACAGCAGGTACTAACAGAATCACTGGGTTACATGAGCTCGAGGAATTCAGGTTCCAGGCCTTTGAGAGTGCTATATTATACAAATAAAGGATGAAATTAATGCATGATAAGCACATCTTGGATCGAAATTTAAAACCCGGAGATCTAGTGTTGTTATATAACTCGAGATTGAGATTGTTCCCAGGTAAGTTAAAGTCCCAATGGTCAGGACCCTTTAGAGTGGTGCAATTGTTCTTAAGTGGAGCTGTCGAGATTGAATTAGAAGATGGGACAAATAAGTTCACAGTAAATGGGCAAAGGTTGAAACATTACTTGGGAATGGCTGAAGAAAAAGGGGATAGAGTGGCAATCACTTTGGAAGAGCCCCAGTACACGAATGAGGAGTGATGATCAAATGCTTCCGTCGTACCGCGATGTTAAATCAGGCGCTGCATGGGAGTCAACCCACGAGTGTTGTTTTTAGTGTGTTCATAAAAAAAATAATAAACAACGCCAGCACCACGACCGCGGTAAACCGCGGTGGAAGGCAAACATTCTGCCTCGAATTTTTCATCTCACCGCAACCGCGGTGGACCGCGGTAAACTGCGGTGAGGCGTAAACTTTTTGCCTCAATGATTTTAAACCCACCGCGGCCGCGATGGACTGCGGGGGTGCCAGGTATTATTAATTTTTTTTTGTTTTACTTATTCTTTTCCTCTTCTTTTAATTTAATAAACCCCTACTATAACCAAAACCCCCTTCCCCAAATATCAAAACAACCAAACCCCCCTCCCCTCCCCCATTCTAATTCTTCATCTCCCCCTCTTCACAACCCTAACCCCCAAATCCCTTCTTCTTCTCCTTCTTCTTCACTCATACTAACATCCCCCACCAACATTCCTCTCACCCATTCCTCAACTAAGGTACAATATAGCATCTGTACACAATATACAACTCTCGGAATCATCACCTATTTACAGTTGCTATCCGTACACGACATCCACAGCAGCCACAATATAGCAATCAGCTATCAGCTATCATCTATCAGCTAAGAGATTTCATTACTATTCGCCTTTTATTTTTTGCACTGCATAAGGCTACCTTTCTACCTTCCGAGGTTAAGCTCTACACCCATCTGCATTTCTCTGCATTGCATAAGGCTACCTTTCT